TTTTTTTTTTTTGCGCCGCTTGGGGCGGCAAAAACCCTGGAGCCGGCCCTGGACAGAGTCAAGGTACCAGAATCTGGCCATACAAACTAGTTAATTCACAGCCTGGTTAAAATAATGAGGAGTCAGACTAACATGGCTACCCCTCTGAAACCTGACAGCCTGGTTACTCTCCCAGTCACTCTCCTAGCAGGAGGATGAGGGAAGGGATTCTGCCGGCAAGGTGAGAAAGATGTTGCTTGCGCTGATGTGGTGAGGATCCTTCAAGAGGTTGTCTGAGTCAGATAAGGCTAGGGAATATAGAGCCCATTTGCAGATGCCTGGAGATGACCAGAAACATATTGCTTCAAAAGGTATCACTATACCACCATTACAGGTTTTAATTGATCCATCATTTCTTTGTGGAGAAGTTCCTTCTTGAGGACTCCTGGCATATACACACACAAGAGCAGCAGCTTCAGCGCCCTTGGAGAGGGGGTAACATGTTCCCACAATGCACTTGCCCAGCTGTGCTGGCCGGGGCAGGTGGGGTCAGAGCCATGGTCCTATCCTGGCCTCTCCCCCTTTCAGACACCACGAAGGTGAAATGGAGGTGGGTGAGGAGGAAACTTCTCTACACCCTCCCTGCCTTATGTGCTTGTGCAGAGCCTGGCCAGAGTTTTACTCTGAGCAATCAGGTATGACTCCAAGAAGGAGAGCTGCTTTGGGATGGTGGAGAGGGGAAGACATGCATGGCACAAGAGGTGGTGATGTCTGGAGGGATTTATCTCCAAGGAGACTCAGATCAGCAGCCTCTTCACACCTTTAGAAAAGGTGCGTCAGACTCCCAGTGCAGGGGGCCAGGGCTCTGACTACATTTCTAACCCGCCCAGACACTCCCTTTCTGGAATGCTCAGCACTGCCAGAACCAATAGCCGCTCTCCCCCAACCACACCCCTTGGGCTCAGGGAGCAGGGCTGCCTCCTCTATCCGATCACTAAGGAATGGAAGGGTAGATATTACTTAGCCCAAAAAACAAAACAACTTTTCAGCACAAGTCACGTAACATCCCACCTTGATTTAGAGAGAAGCGATATGGACATATGGGAGTAGAGCGATACCAGGGGTCTGAGCCTGCGCTGCCTGGCACCTGTAGAAATCAGGAACAGTTCCATTTCTGTAATGGAGTTACACCAGTTTAAATCAGGTGTAGGATCAAAATCAGCCCACCTCTGTCACCCATACACAGTGTCAATGAGCTGGTCAGCAGCGATGTTAAAGCTCTTGCATGAGTGAGTGATTTCCTGTTCAACAGTGGCTGAGTATGCACTCCTCCTTCATTGCTCTTATCACAAGCCCTGAGCAAGTGGGCTGGCAACCACCTAACACAGCATATGTACTCATGTGCCTCTGCTGTCCAATAGCAAGGAGCCCCCTACCACAGCCCTGACTCAGGCAAAACTTGCATTTTTTTCCTGAACATTGAAGACCAGATCCTCAGCTGGTGTAAATGGGAACAGCTGAGAATCTGCCCCAAACACTACAAGATTTGGCCCTCAGCCTAATCCAGCATCCATTGAAGTTAATGGGAATCTTTCCATTGATGGCCAGCATTGGATAAGGCCCTTAATTGAGTCTAAATTCTGTCACAATTGTATTAAACAATGTATATTTTAAATAAATTTAAACTCACATGCAGCAAAGGCCATTTACTGTCCTGTTAAGATATACACGTGACATTTTAAATGTGAGCTTATGAATGACTTTTGTGACCAAAACTTGAAACCAGTCTCAGTTCTTAAGAACCCCGGTCTCTTTAAAACAATCTCTCTTTCTGTAACAATGGCTGCATGCACTACCCTTATATTATATTTTTCACCCTAGACCAGGAGCTCTTTGCAGTATTTGGTTGTAAATATAAAGATTTATTTGTTTTGTAAACTTTTGTAAAAACAAGAAATTAATAATAATATTTTGGTAGGAATAATAAAATCATATTCTTTGGGTTATATTTATATATATGTGAAATAAATATACTATCTACAAAGTTGTATTTTATACAAAAAGTAAATGGTTACCTTTTGTATTCTAATATACAAAGTTTTGTATGGTATGATTGCTTATTTTCATCCTCAGACTTAAACATTGGGTTGTGGGGGAGGACAGAATGGGACCTTTGGGATCTTTCCATTGATTTCCATTGATTTCAAGTGGCTTTGGATCAAGCCTTTAAAAATACTTCAGATACATTCAAATCTGAAGCTCTCCTGAAACCTCAATATGAAAACATTCCAGGTTTCAACACTTTTTTTATTGTAGCTTTTGGGTTTTTTTATATGTAACTGTCATGTCCTTGTTGCATGTATGTCTGCTTTATACTTTCTCATATTATAAAACAGTATTTCTCTATACAAACTGAAAGGAAAAATTGCTGTACATAAATGTTTGTGTTTTATGCATTTTTACATGTGGCTGTATATACCTCCTAGTACTATGCAGTGACACTTATTCGACTCCATTTATTTTTCACCTAAACATTAATAGTATGTTTTTTTCAATAGCTATCAAAATTCCACCAAGTAAATCAATCAAAATGTTCTGGATGTCTCTTTCCTTAATGTGAATTTCATCATTAATGTCTATTTATTCAGATATTCATTTGTTTCATTAAATTACAGGAATATTTTGATAAAATGCATCCTACAAATTCTGTTTGCTAAGACTGACCATTTGAGAGGAAGATTTGATTTTTCTACAGGTTGAGGCAATATCTTCATTATTATAAATACATTAAACTTTACTGTAGTAATTATCACAACATTTTAAAACCTGGGTCACACTTTATATGAAGGCTCCATTCATAAATAGATTATAAGGCACTTATTATTAAGAGTTAATAAATGATTAATAGATTTTTTAGTAAAGGGTAAATTTATTGTTACAGAGCTTAGCTGGTCAATCATTTGCTTATGACCGTATATAATATCTTCCACTGGTGTGCTTATAACCATTTGTAAACACATACAACTCATGTTTATAACATACTTGTAGCATGTATTAATAATTTACTAATCCTTTATAAGCCTTTTATAAATGGAACCTTAATAGAAAGGTGTGACAAAAATCTGCATGTTTTGTGCTATTGGAATATGATTTGACATTTACATGAGTCAGAAATAGCAGAGTACTAAAATATTTTAAGTGGAACTAACATTTTTTTTCTTGAGTCTAAATTGTGTCTGTTAAGCAGTGATTCCCTTCTAGTTTGATTTAAATTCAGTATCCATGTATCATTACATGTTATCGTAATCTCAAAGAATTTCAACATGTACAAGATTATTTTGTATTGTGTGTGATTTCACATGGTTTAAAATATTAATCGTATCCTGGCTATTTTTAGAAGTTCCACAAGTTCTATGGAATTGATTTCTTGGCAATGACAAACTTTTCATGCACTTCAGCTACTGTTTTAGTCTCTTGGTGGGTTATGAATTAGTTCCCATAAAATCAAGGCTAGTGGGCACCTGTTCTAAGGGGAAATGTTCAATGCCAGTTTCAGCAGAAGGATTTCTTGTGCCATTTCAGATTTGGGGTTTAGTTAAGGCTTTCTGCCTCTTACCCACTACACTGCTGCCCAACATACCAGGCCTGTGGGTCAAGACACACAGGGTGAGTTTATCCACTTATACGCAAGGGCCAACACAAAGTATATTAACTCCTTGAGTCCCATTTACGGCCTCTACATGGGGTAAGTGGGACCGAAGTAGTTCATAAGTCTTGTCCCAGCACTGCCAAATGTCACGCACCTTGCACAGTACTCATGCATTTTCCTACCCTCCTACAGAGCAACTGTGATTTCATACACAGCCACGGAAAAGCAATACATTCAAGGGACATGATACTGGCCCTTTAAGGGCCCGAGGTGGGAGAGTAGCAGCTCATATTGCCCAGAAAGGAGCAGGCCAAGGAGTGAGAGCTGTCCCCAGCTAGTGAAGGCCCCCCGACTGCTTCAGCCCAATCCTCCGACTCCCCTTCTCAGCCCTGCACCCCCACCACACTATTCCAGCCATTCTGACCCGACCCCCGTGTCCCTGCCCCCAAACTCACCCCAACCCCCCAGCTCCAGTCATGTGAGCTTCCATGCTTCTGCCTGCCCAATCCTCCAGCCCCCACACTGCTCTAGATACCTTGACCCCCATATTATTATTCCTGACCTTCCCTGCTCCTCCAACATTTTTGCACCACTCCCCTCTACTCCAGTTACTCAGTTGTGGGCTGCTGCCCCCAAAAATTGCTCCTGCCCCCCCCCCACTGCCTTAAAATTGCTACTGCTCTAATGTCCATCCCCTCCTAAGTCTATGGGGATGGCCCAGTGGCCTTTCCATTCTCCTCTCTGGTGTGGTCTGGGAGTGATCGGCTGCTCCAGCCTCATTCTATAAGGGACTGCCCCTGGGGCTCGCTGCCCCCCAGTCCATCAGGGAACACATCCCCTTGTGCTGGCTGCGCTAATCAGCTCCTGCACTTAGCATCAGCTCCTGCACTTAGTTGGCTTGGGGAAGCCCTCTCCCTGCGCCCACCCCAATAGGATGGGAATTCCTTTGGGGGAAGCCTTTGGGGGGAGGAGCCTTTCCCGGGCTCTACTTTGCATGGCAAAGGCTGGGCCAACTCTCAGCCCCCTGCACATAGAATTGGGAATCCCTGTCCCCCACCTCTGTCCATTGGGAGGGGCCCAGCCCTTCCTGCCCCCTCCACCCCCTACTGCTATTGAGCCCTCACCATCACCACCACTGCCCCAGGGACAGACCTGTTGGCACAGGGAGGCTTTGCTTCCCCAATGGCTGTGCAG